CTTTATCCATCGGATAAGTCCTTATCCAGTAAATAAGTAGATGCTATTAACATCACTATGCTAATGTTTGGTGTAAATACCAACTAGCCCTATACTTGAGTTCTTACTTGTAATATCAGTTAAGTTTTGGTACTGATTCCACAATTTCATCCATTGACTTTCATCTCTGATATAWTTCTGGTAGTCTTGGCCTAACCTTAGAACTCTGTCTCTAAGTGTACTGTTTTGAATGATAGGAAATGCATCTTCTAGAAATCTTGCAAAGCTGCAAAGAAGAATAAGGAGATGAGTTGTGAGCAATGTACTTTAAAGTGCCTACGACACCTAACTCAAAATGTTCATCATTGATTCTAAATGGAGGAAAAAGTTGAATAGTAAAATATCTTTATATGGTTTGAGTGATGCGTCTTGGAGATATCAAGGTTTATACTCCCAATATGTTTATGACGTGACCTCTGTCACCCGTCACGTGACCTCTGTCACCTGTCACGTGACCTCTGTCCACCTTTGCTTGTAAGACTGTAAGAGTATAGATGTGTATATACACGTACAGTACTAGTATCCCTGATAATTATCTGGTACTCATTTATACCCCCGAGTGGAAAGTGGCACAAGCTGTGAGAGCTACAGTAACGAGTGTTTCGCATACTTTAATTTCATCACATGGCAATTAAAACATTCATAATGACTAATTAAGATATTTATSAAAAACAGAATAAGAGATTTACTCTTCACCTTGAGTTTTGCAGGTTAGGTAAATCACTCTGAATTGCATCGGAATAATTCAGACCTGTCCCTCGAAAATCACACAAGAATGATTGCATGAATGGAATCAGACCAGCAGAAGGCATGGCTCTTGGTCGATAGTAGACTGCAAATAAATAAATAACAACTATCATTTAGTAATCAAGTGGGTGGTGTAATAAGTGATTGATAGGACACCTGAGCAAGCACATAGTCAACCCCTTCCTTCCCAGGGTTCCTAGGTAAGGTTGTGGTAAGATGTTAGTAGTTGGTTAGCTATAAGGGGTCAGTAAGTGGATGCTGAAGTGTTGTTAAATCTAGATTTTTTTGTTTTTGTTTTTGTTTTTGTTGTTGTTAAACCTAGATGGTCTTTATTAAGTAGTAGGAATTTGTGCAAATTGATTTAACTTTGAAAAAAAAGAAAGCAAATTTAGACAGGACTTAAATTAATTTTTCAGTCACCRGTCATGATGAACAGCCAAATTAATTTTAGCTTAGTCACACCTYGTTTCTGGCTCAACATTACTGGTCAAAATGACCAGCATAGCAAAGAWTTGACTGGACAACTTCCATTGCTKACCAGACATTGTGCAATKAACAGCTGTCATTTCMAACCCTTAAKAAAGTTACAATTTTTGCAATAAAAGAATATTCTTACTGTTTTGTCTGGCAGTTGGTGGTCGTTTGGTCCTTACTGCCACAAGGATGAAGAACAACACTAATGGCCATAGTATTTCTATAACATTTCTTGCCTGTGTCAAATACAATTACCTCATATTAATCATTAGAGATAAATCACTTAATATGCAGCCCGTAAAGTCCTCCACTAGTCATTAATGTAAAGCGCATTGAGACGTTGTATAAATGCGCTTTACGAGAATCTCCCATTATTATTATTATTATCATTGATAATTATACTTTTAGAGATAATTTGAAAAAATGTAAATATAAATTTCAATTTTTTTTTTTCAAGAGAAGCAATTCTACAGTAAGAAATGTTCTCATTTTATTAATCAACCCACAATGAATAAATTCCTTTTTGCAACTGGGACCTTTGGACAAGAGATCATAATATTTATTTATT